CTTTCCTCAGCAAACCCTGGCACCTCTTCCAGTTCAGGCTTCTACTGCCAGGGGTGTTTAAGTTGGACGTCAGCATTTAACTTTTCAAACTGTCTATTTTTGCATCCCTGACTGAAATCAAAGATGACATTTGGGTTGGGACTTCCTCTTGTTCTTGCTACAGAGCTCCAGGAGACTCAACTGAAATGCATACTTAGCTAAAAAAAAAAACTCTTAAACTGCTCGGATCTTCAGAAAACATCCTTATACGTAAAACATCAATCGCTGGTGCAGTCTGCTTACCTGAAACCATCCCTTCATATAAATACATTGGGGAAAAAAATCAAATAAATGTTGACACACTGATGTAGAACAAAAGAAAAAAAATACATTTTGATCTGTCACCAGAATTGTCAATTGTTTCTGGTCCTACACATAACAGGCCCCCTTTTTTTCCCTTGGAAGAATGAATTTGGTTATTTATATGTCATCATCTGGCATACCAAATAGAGTAATATTAGACTTAAAGCGTGTGGCACTTGCAGAAATATTTTTCTGCTTTAACATGCTAGGCTGAAGAGCTCTACAAGAAATCTCTATGACAGATAGAAACGCTTTGTTGAAAGCCATGCAGGGAGCAGCATAACCGCTTAACACTGTTTTGAAGGGCTTAACCGCAGCGTAAAAGATATCTGGCCTTATGTTGCACCTCTGCCAAGGAGCGTATTTCACACTTTATGACTCTGATTTTCTCTTCCTGATGAGTATGCTGCATTTTTTTCCCCAAAGATAATATACAGAAACTTCTATTCAAAACAATTTCTATTACATACAAATGAATGGGCACCGATGGGGAAAAATCCCTATTTATGTAGGATTTGAGAATGAAAAGAGAAATGACAAGATGAGAGAAGGAAAGAAGGAAGAACACTCCAGCAAGCAACAATGCATACTAATGGTCAAACACCATTCAGTAGCACATTTCATAGAGTATGTCTACCACTGCTATCAGCTGATGGCAATACCAAGCCTGTTTGAATTCTTATTCATTTTCACTAAACACAGTGTTTTATAAAGGATTTTCTGGAAGTTATGGGACACCTACTCCACTAGAAAAATATCTGATTGAATTGTTAAAAAGACAATAGAGATTAGCTATGTGTTACAGCTCAAGAGCAAGAAGTCTCTCCAGTTGCCTAGGATATATTTGAAAGAAGGAGAAATTTGGTTGTCAACAGCCAATAGCTATGACCTTGTTGTGAAACTTCACAGGGATTAAAATATCAGCACTGGATATTCAGTCTATTCAAATTTCTTCTTTCATCCTTAATCACATGAAGAAGTGCAACCATCAGTGGCATGAGTGGTAGCTATATAAGGAAAAATGTAGCGGGACCTGGATTATTAATAAGAAGTCCCCCTTCACATGAAAAGATATTTCCATGCTCTTGATCATGAGATGGTCTTTGCACAGGCTAATTGTATAATATCTTCAAAAGCAAGAAGAACAATCAAGAAGTGCTCTTTTAAAGCTACTCTTCCCATGGAGAAAAGGAAGAGGGACTGAAGTTTCACAGAACTCCAAGTAAATAAATGGTCAGTTTCCTGTCCGAGCAGATTTTCATCTTGGAAGGAAGAGCACGGGTAAAATTTTATGTAAAAAATTTTATGCAAAACTTGCCAGACTTTTAGCAAAACAAAAAAGTTCAGATGGAGAACATCTGTTAAGCCTTACCAGGACAATGCCTGCTACAAACTGCGTGCCTTCATAGGGCCGCTCCTAAAATGAGTGCTGAAGGAAGCACAGAAACCTACTCCTCCCGGCGTGTATCTGGGAGCACAGTGCCATTTGCAAAAAATGCTTCCACCAGACTGTGCTAATGCACACTTTGCGTGCTTCACACCCATGAAGAGCTTCCTATCGCTGTGCAACACAATGGGCATTGTAAGGAGAGGCACATGCAGTGCTGCCGGCCCAACACAGAGAACAGCAAGGCGCAAGGTGCGACAAGTGGTACGCAGTTAAAAAAAAATAAAAATAAAAAAAATAGTATGGGCATTTTTAAGCATTTCCCTTTTGGTTTGGACTGCCTGTTTTGTTCTTTTAAATGGAGGCAAATTAAACTGGGAGCATAATTTAAAATCCATAACCTGGAACACAAAATGAAAAAAAAAAATCCCAACCTTACTCTTTTTGTTTGTCCGTTTATGAAACATAGCATTGTAGCTGTTCATCTCAACATGGAACCAAGTAATGCTTTCAAAGTTTCTAACATCATCCCTGAATCGGCCTAAAATATTCCCACAGTGAGCTCTGATGGGCACTGGGGGTTACTGATGGGGTGCTTCCAATACGTCTTACATGCTGAAAAGACAGGAAGGTGCACGTTTTTTTTTTTTTTTCTTTTTAAGTAAGAGATTTACATGGCTGTTAGAAGGTGCCTGGCAGAAGGCTCTTCCCTGTCACAAAGCTCTCAACCACTGGGCCCGTGTGCCCGCAGCAGCCCCCACGTGTAGCTCCACTGCTATATGCTTCTACCCTGCAGCAGTTGCTGATTCCTTCCCCTCCTCCCAGCAGAGCACCACGCAAAGGTCAGGCAAAAGCCTTGGAGATTAAATTGTAAGTGATTAAAATTTCCATTATTTTGTGAACTTGTTCCACATATTAAAAAGCCCTAATGGAACTTGCACACATTTGTGCAGGTAGAAAGGCACATGATGACAGGAATTAAGGAAATTAATTCCTGTGCTTTGGACTGAAGTAATCTCCCAGAATGTAATTGGCTTTCAATCATTCACACACAACATGCCCTTCACCTTTAAATGGTAATTCATTTTACCATACAGATTTTGAATTCTGTTTGTGTCAGGCTTTAGGAAAGCTCCATCGCCATACTGGAACACAGCACATGTTTTGTCCAGGAGCAGACTACGTCAGAGCGTAACTTAGATTTCTGATGTATGCATCCGTATGGTGTTTTACCATTTCTGTGCCCTTTAGCAGGAGGAAACGCAAACAGTCCCTGACCAGAGATCAAGCAGCCATTCAAGGCTCCGCAGTGCAATGTTATTAGTGCTGCCGCTCATGGAATGCTCTTTATTTTTCCGCTGCGCTGCGCTCTCTGTGGGACATGGAAAAGTGGTTACAAGTCTACAAGACTCTCCTGGGCTATGTCTAGATCACAGCAGAGCTGCGCAAAGCACAGTGACAGTAAACATAGCCGTGTCTGCTTTAATAAAAGCAACAGAAATGTGCAAAACCTCACTACATAGCACTTTCCTTCTTCCGCGGCTGAGAGAGAAAGACTACAGAGGAAGTATCTGGAAGCACTAGGGTTGGAGTTGCTTCTGGAGTGTCAGCCCACCCACTCCACTTGACGTAGCAGCAACCTGTTACGGGTGATGAAGTACACCTCACTGACGAAACAGCCTTCTCGGGCCAGGTGCAGTATTTAAATCTATTTCTCCTTGCCTGTATTTTCCTTTTGCACGTCACATCCTATCATTCCGTGATGTTGCATCTCCCTCACACTACTGTCAGCCCTGGCTGACGACCAGGGAGACCGTAACATTGGCACCCCTGCCAAATGGTTAGGCATATCCAGGACACAGCAGACAACAGATATATATTATATTTAAATAGGGACTAATTTGCATTTTTTGTGTACTGTGGATTTTTTAAAGTGTTGTTTTCGTGATTTAGAGGAATGTGTAATTCTGAAATAGTAATACTTGCCTCAGAAAAGCCAGGTTTGCTAATGGATTGCCATCTGTTCAGCCCTTTGCCAGGAAATAGATTTGTCCTGCTTACTGAAAACAGTATTAGGGTGAAACTGTAGATTACACAGTGGATTTCTGAGCAGTTTAATTTAAAGTGCGTGCTAGCACTTTGTTATTTCAGTAAGAATAATTTTAGATTCTCCTTTTCTACTGATGTTTGAATTTAAGCCGTCTAGCAAAGTGTATTTAGAGTACTTTGGATATTAGGAAAATGCTGTTCACCAAAAGGGTTGTTGGGCACTAGGACAGGCTCCCCAGGGAAGTGGTCACGGCACTGAGACTACTGGAGTCCAAAAAGCGTTTGGACAATGCTCTTGGACATAAGGTCTGATTTTTGGGTGGTCCTGTGTGGAGCCAGAAGTTGGACTAGTTGATCCTTGTGGGTCCCGTCCAGGTCAGGATATTGTGTGATTCTATGATATTTTGTGGGCTGTTCTGCTCTCAGTTGAGTTCCAGGAAAGCTGCCCACATCACCTTTATCGTTTTGAAACTGTGCTCATCAGGCTTCTTTTGCCCAAGATTTACAGAAGGCACTCTATATCTTGCTTTGAAAGCACATCTTAACCCTCTAGAAAGAACATGTTAAAAAAACACAAGGCAAGAGAAAAAACAACAAACAACACTGGCCTAAATCACACCTTCAAGGGTAGAAGATCCATCTTCACATGCTGGGAGCCTCTCAGAGCTCCTCGATGCAAGTCAGGAAGAAAAATACATCAGCAACTCACAATGCTGTTTTGGGAACTGTTTGACCTCTTTAGCTCACGAAGCCCAAGAAGCAAAACCACTCCGGCACCAGGTGAGTTATTCTCCCCGGCAACCCGCAGAAACCCAGCGGCTGAGCCTTGCTAAGGGCACAAACGCGCGGCGAGGGAGAGGTCCAATTTTTACATCCCGCGGGCGAAGGACGAATTGAAACCCAACTTCCAGACTCCGGCACCCCCTCGGCGAGGCTGCCGACACCAACTCGAAGCAGCCGGCGGGGTGACAGGGCTCCGCGGGGCAGGCAGCACCCCGCCACCCGCAGCAGCAGCCAGGCCGGGCTCGGGGCCAGGCGGCGGGGGCGAGCCGGGCGGAGGCGGCGGCGGCACGGCCGCGGAGCCCCAGCCCGGGGGCTGGCAGCGCTGCCGGTGGCCGCTCAGCCGCTCGCCGCCGGCGGACAAAGTTTTCTCGCCCGCCCGGCAGCCCCGCTCCTCCCGCCCGCCGCGGGGCCGCGCCGAGCCGCGCCGAGCCGCGCTTACCTCTGTCCAGCGTGAGCGGCTGCACGGCGGCCAGCGTCGCCATGTCTGCGGCGGGGCTGGAGCCCGAGTGACGCGCGGCTCCGGCAGCGGCGTGGGGAGCGGGGAAGGGCGGGGAGGAGGCTGGCAGGGAGAGGGGGCGGAGGACGAGGGTGGCTCCGTGGGAGGAGGAGGAGGAGGAGGAGAAGGTGGAGGAGGAGGAGGACGAGGAGGAGGAGGCAGACAGCGTGCCCAGGGGAGCGCGGCTGGCTGTAGCCGGGGCGCCGCGATGCAGCGGGCGCAGGGCGGCCCGGCGGGGCCCGGCGCGGGCTGCGGGCATGGCTGCGCCGCCGGGCCCGGGGCTGCCGGGGGGCTGCAGCCGCGCCGCGCCGGGCTCGCCTCGGGGCTGAGTGCCGGGGCCCTGCGGGCCGGGGGCGGCGGAGGGGAGGCGGAGGGGCGGGCCGGCTCTGGCCCCGCCGCCCGGGGGTGCCGCAGCGGAGGGAGGGATGGAGGGAGGGAGGGAGCGGGGCGAGGACGGGGCCGGGGCCGGGCAGCTCCGCAGCGCCACGGGGTGGGCAGGACGGGCCCGGCCGGCCTCGGCTGGGGCTGGGGGCGAGGAGCCCGGGTGCCTGTCAGAAACGGGGGGAGAGGTGGCCTGGCAGGGCGCTGCGGTGGTGCCGCCTTCCCCTCTGTGGGTAGCGGTGCAGGGAAATGGCTGGGTGGAAGCTGTGCCTTCTCCGGCTGCTCCATGTGCAGCACCGGCATTTCTGCGTTTGGCCAAGAAGCGCTGAAACTGGGGGGATGTTATTGGGGAGCACGGTGCTGTCTTCCTTCCCCATACCCACAGGGGAGCTGGCAAAACAGGATGAGAAAGTGCAGCAGCAGCAGCAGGCTGCACCTCAGCAAAAGCCTTAACTGCGAGGCTATTTAAGCGCTGGTATGGATAATTAGGGGAGCTGTGGAAATTCTGTCATTAAAAGTTTTAAGAGGAGATTAAAAATGCATTCAGCGGTTTTAAAGCTAAAGAAGCTTAAATAATAAATACGAGCCACCCACTTCTGATGAACTCAAATCAGCACAAATTTCTCTAATTAGTAAACAATAAACAGTGGACCATTCAGGTATCTTGACAAGAAAATGTTTCATTTGGCTAAAACGCTGAAGTCGAGAAATCGGTTCCTGGCGAGCAGTCAGTTTTTAAAAGTGAAATTAACGTAAGGATTTTTATTATGCAGATTTTACGTACTTGCAGAGCAGCTGGATTGACATAAAGCCTAACAGCGCCTCTAAAGTAGTCACATTACTGTATATTGGATTCAGTCCTGAGCAGGGAAGAAGTACGCATTTGGAGCTATAACAACCTAATGTGACAACTCTCAAACTGTTATGACACTTTAAAAAATCTACTACAGATATTAAAGTATGTTTAAATAATAGAAAAAGCATGGCGCCTAGTTAATGAGCCAATCGGGTTGTTTTTCACAGAGGACTTCGTAAGCCTCAGGCTTGCTCTTTTAAACTGCCATATTGCAAACCGACATCTTGAAGCAAAGTGCAGTTATGACAATAACTTTTCTATTAATATCTATGTAATGTTAATGCCAAATATATAGCTTCTCAGAAATATCCAACTTTAGAAATTGCAATGTTTGGGCTTGAGCTGGGTGCCTGTGGAAAGCAATAAGCTTATTCTGACTTTATCCTTTTTTATCTACCGCTGGTCAGATTTCATGTGCTCTGCCACAGGGGCTAATTGGCACTTGGAGGAGAGACTTGAATGTGAGTATTATCTGCATTCAAGGAAGATGAAAAGCAGCATTTGCTGAAATTAAACATTTCCTAATCAGCATAGCTGCACAGCTAATGCTCAAGGACATTAAAGAATTAGCCGAAGAATACTTTAAGCAACTGAACTGAGAAAATTTCATAAATTGTCCAGCAGAATTCTTCTATTGCAGAAGGGGAGGTGGAATGAATCAGAGATTTGTGAAATGGCTCTCACTTTCCAGTGTCAATTCCCAGTAGAAATAGCGGACTCTAATAGCACAAGTTAGCAAAGAGAAGTGGAACCACTTTCTTAGAAGGTGGATCATTTTAGGAAGAAGCGAAGGGTCTGCTTCCCAGCCTGCTTGCTGATTCCTTGGGCTACACTGCACCTTTTAATTCAGTAATGTGTGATGTTTACTGAACCAACAAAACTAGACTGAATTAACAGAAACTAGGTTGTATGGACTGCAAACTGGCTTAGTGCCAGACTTTCAACGTGTAGTCAGCAGTCAGATGCCAGCAAACAAGACTATTTCTAATAGGATGCTTGACAACTTTGTCAATTTAGTATTTTATTCAAGGATCTAAAATGTAGATATAGAGGCTTTGGTCACTATGCTTTTAGATGACACAAGTTTTGTTTTGTTTTTTAAAAAAGGATCACTGTGACAGTGAGTAAATATTAAAAGAAGTTGTCCTGGAAAGAAGGAATCTCTGCCCTTCAAGATTTTCCAACCTGATTGGGCAAGGACTTGGGCAACCTGCTTTTGCTGCAGTGTTAGCCCTGCTTTGAGCAAGAGGTCAGACTGGATGTACTTCAAGTCCTTTTCAACCAAAATCATTAGAATCATAGGATCATAGAAAAATTAAGGTTGGAAAAGACCTTCGAGATCATCTGGTCCAACCATCACCCTACTATCAATGTCACCCACTAAGCCATGTCCCTAAGCACCACGTCCAGCCTTTCCTTGAACACCCCCAGGGATGATGATTGTATGATTTTGTAATCAAGTGTCCAAATTGCTGGTAAGAATTATCTGAATAACTGTACTGAATTATTACATTCCCAAAGTAGTGTGTTTTAATGCCACTGCGAGCAAGTAACGAAGAATGCAATGGATACTTGCAGGACTGGAGATTGTCTTGGGGAGGGGTGTTCTCACATAGCAGTCTCAACATACGTTCTTGGTGTGATGTTGCCTAGAGGGCTCGTATGATCCTTGAATGTATAGAAAAAGGAGTGGCACATAGAACTAGGAAATGAGCACTGAGAAAGCACCTTACTGGAATGCTGTGTCCAGACCTGGTGTTTGTCTTTCAAGGTGGGAAATCAGCTTTGACGTGAGATTTAAGAAACTCAGTCCAAGCTTACTGAAGAAAAGGGTAAGAAGGAACTAAATCACTGTGTGTAGGTAGGCCAATGTATATGGAAGAGGCGTAATGGTGAAGGGATTTATAGCCTTAAAATTTATTGTTTTATGACATAAGGTGGCCCCATGGCTGGAAGTTTAACAAATTCAACCTTGAATAAGATGTACTATTCTGGCAGTAAGGATAACATAGGGACCAATTACTCACTGTTGCTCGTAATCTGAACAAAATTAGGTGCCTTTCTAAAAGGCTTGCTTTGATCTAACTTCTAAAGAAAAGTAGAATGGCTGAGGTATTCAGGAGGTTAGATGAGATAATGATAGTGATCTATTACTCTCAGGACTTTTACGACCTTTTGCCTTCCCTCATGAGTTGGTGTTGCAAGGGCCAGAAAATTATTTCTACACAGCACGGTGCAATGGAACATGGAAAAAAAAATACAGCACAGCTCCAAATAGTCTTGCTGGCTGCCTGAGTATCACACCTCCACCTGTCCTAAGCTTTGCGTGGGATAATTAACTCCCTGGAACTAAGATCCTGCTGCATGACTGGAATAATGCAGTAAATGCAGCTATTTGCTTCAATGCCAGAGCCACCTCTAACAGACAGAATCCCTGCTCTCTGGTGGTGTCAGAGGCCATACCACACTGGCATAGTTAAATCTGTTTGGGTTCTACAGCACTGTATTATGCCTTCTAGCCAAGTTCTAAATGTTAGTCACTGGATTAAATGTCTTGTCATGACTGAATTTCACCTTGGGTACTTGCACGTGGGTTCCTACCTACCTCTCCCATGAAATTTCAGCTTGCTGCAGGACTCTTCACGTCCAAGTTTACATTGGAAAATTTGTTGGGCAGCTGCTTTATTTCACCAGAGGCTACAAAAATGATTATTTTTATTATATAATATAGTTTTATCCTGCTTATGCCCCTTTTTCTTAAAGCAATATGTTACTCCATCTCTTGTTATCGACTTGACAGCACTGGGGAATGCTGCACACTCTATTTGCAGGATGATCAGCTGTATCAGGCATTCCCCCATCAAACATAGTTTGATTATATTTGCATATTGTGTGAAACTTCGGGTTATTTCAGTGAAGATCCCAGGTACAAGAAGCTTTCAAAATCATAGATCACACCTTAGAACTGAGTCACAACACACAAATGCAATTGCAATAGCAATAGCCTTTTCTCTTTTTCTGTGCTGACCAGTGGTTTCACTTGTACATTGCACTTCCGTACAACTAAAAGCAGATTCCGGTAATGTAATATGGACTGTGAATTCTCAAAAGACTGAGGATTTTTTTCATCATTCAAATTTGCTTTTTGAGTGGCATTTTGCCTCTATGGGGGAAAGAATCCTTCCTTTTTTAAAACCCATCAGTTATTTCCATGCAGTTTCCATGGCAGAACTTGCTATATGAGACGTCTAATGGTTTAACAGCAGTTTGTTTATTGGGCAAAAAACTGCATAAGTTTCCCATAAGAAGTGTAATTTAGTGCTTTCTGAGAATTATAAGCATTACTCACATGTACATTCTAATATCATGTAATGGATTGCTTTTTGTAGATAACACAGTGGCTGTTTTCCCAGACACTGAAACTAATCTGGCCTTTAGAAATACTTCACAGAATCACACAGAATCACAGAATTTCTAGGTTGGAAGAGACCTCAAGATCATCGAGTCCAACCTCTGACCTAACACTAATTATTTTTTTTCTTTTTCATTTGTTGTTTAAGACTCAACTCCAGTTGACAACAGGGATAACAGGATCACGCTTTGCTGAAAGATTCTGTATGGACCCCGCTGAACTTCAGATGTAGGGTCTATTCCTCAGTGCAGTGAGGTTCAACATGCGGTCTATAGCAGCCTGTAAGTCTATGTACTCTCTAAAAATAACTGCTGCAAAAGAAGAGCAAGCCTGCTGGGCAGGGCCCACCCCTTCTTTTAGGCCTGGAGGCAGTTTAAAAGCACCTACAAATCAGACCTTTTATCCTTGATCACCTTTGGATATCCTTGGTATCTGAAACTTGAATCTCGTTCTCTTTGTTACCGTGACTTATTATGGCTGCTTTAAGGACTGAGTCTCTATGTGAAGTTTTGTCTGTACAGAGGCTCTTTGAGAAGAGGGCAAATTGCCCTCCGTAAGGCCACAAGCAACTTCATCTGGCTAATTCAGTGCCAGTTCAGGTTTCATCTACAAGCACCATATCGGTAACGTCAGCATATTGACAATACATGAATTCACACAGA